TAAAATATTTAGGTGGCGACTCTGTATCTGGCAAAGCAGTCCATGTTTGTAAGGTGTAAGTGGGTTGCACATGGTGTGCAACCTCAAAAAAATAAGTGTAAGGTTTAATTTTTTATAAAAGGTGTAAGTGTAAGGTGTAAGGTGTAAGATATAAGGTGTAAGGTGTAAGTTGCACACCATAACCAAACCCCTGGGAGTAAATGAGAAAGAAAGTTGGAGAACTCCCAAACAATTTATATATACTATCACATATCTAATGAGAAAAATACAACAAAGAAAAAGAAAATTACATTAGGCATGCTATCCCACTTGCCATCCACATGCCCCATATTATTCTTAGTTCTGTTTTATGAAAATACAGTACAGAACATTTTTGGACACTTCACTCTTCACCTAAGTAGAAAATTGTAGGTTTTTTAGGTTCAGTGATCTCAACAGTCCCTTCCAGCATCTTAGCCACCTTCCCCATCGACGGCCTTGCCTCTGGCCGATCCTGAAGGCACCACATCGCTGTTTTCACCATCCGATTCACCATATCGAAATGAGCCCTGCTATCATAAGAGTGCTTGATCTGATGGTCCAAAATGTCCTCCACCTTTATTTCTTTGAACACCTTCTCAAATGCCCACCTAGGAAAATACCAATCTTCACTTTCCATTTTTGATCCTTGCATCTCATAATTCCTAACCCCACTCACAATTTCCAACAATACCATTCCAAAACTGTACACATCAGCTTTTGGTGTGATCGGATCCATCTTGACCCATTTGGGTGCCATGTTCCCACGGGTGCCCCGGATCGTTGACAGGCTAACCATGTCTTCCTTTTTCCTTAATTTGGCCAATCCAAAATCCGATATCTTCGGGCAAAAATCATCTCCCAAAAGTATATTCTCTGGCTTGATGTCGCAATGCAAGACCCACTCTAGACACTCTTCGTGCAAGTAGGCAATTGCTCTCGCCACTCCTAGCGCAATTCGGTACCGGATGTTCCAATCAAGTATTGGCTTGTCCTCGGACTCTGCAACCGCAACCGCAACTGCAACCGCATCCATTTCATATTCAGAGCTCGTTGGTCTTACTTGCCTAGAAGAAAATAGAAACTTGTCTAGTGAACCATTGGGCACATACTCATAGACAAGTATCCTCTGACCCTTCTCGGCACAAAAACCCCATAATCGGACCAAATTGAGGTGGTGCATTCGGGCAATAATAGTGACCTCAGCCCAAAATTCAGCATCACCACCCGTAACATTTTTCAAGCACTTCACGGCGACAACCCGGTGATCACCCAACTCTCCTTTATAAACATCCCCAAATCCACCTCTACCAACAATATTAGAGAAATTATTGGTGGCATCTTTGAGCTCGGCATAGCTAAATCGCTTGGGTCCGCCCGCGGGCAAAAATTCAAGCCCGAGGGTCTGAGCCATATCCCTGTACTTGATGTACTTCTTGAGAAAAGCCCAAAAGAAAAGAAATCCACTAATAAGCTCAGCAGCAAAGAGAGTACATACTATCGCAATATTCCGGGTGGTGGTATTGGATTCCTTGGGCGGATAAGGGAGGCTAATATTGATCGGGCACGTTGTCTCCATCAAATTCGTCATACCCGTGAAATTCGATTCGTCAGTTTCGGATTCATCAACCCGAAGAAACATAGCGGTTTCGGTACCCGGAGACCAATACCCATTTAGCAACCTTCCAAGCTGGGGCACACAATAACCAGTCCCATCATACTTGAACAAAAACCCTTGACAAGCCGAGTTGGATAAACACCGAGCTTGACAAGTTAAAAAATTCTGGGCATTATTGGTTGGGGTCAACCCGCTTGAATAGTTCACGTAGTCCAATCGGAGAAACTTGGTTGCTGTTCGGTTATTCCATGGAATTTTCCTTTCGCATGTTTGGCTTTTAGGAAAATCCTGGAAACCCGGTGGACACACACATTTAGGATCGCTCACACCATCACTCATACATATATAGTTAGGACCACAAGTACCATGAATTGTACAAGGTTCTTGAACTGCTTGCCAGACTACGATCCACTGACTCAAATTTGAACTCCGATCGAGGCTGTAAATTTTGAGATTCCCATCATCCTCAAGAGTCAATCTTCGAGGTGGGGTATCGCCAAAATCGGAACAAATAAACGAAGCACCGGCGCTCTGAACAACTCTCCCATCAGGTTGAAGTTCATCGAATGAATTGTCAGTATGCCAGTAACTGTCAGTCTCGTTAAAAACAAGTTTCGTTGAATCCACGAACTTGAATTTTCCATTGTTTGATGACAAGGTTGTTCCATTAATGGTCTGGTTTGGAAGAATTGTATTGGTTGGAGAAGAAAAACTCAACCAGTTACCAAAAACAAGGCTACCGTTGTTTTGGAGAGTGAGTTGGGTTGAGTTTGGGTTTCTATCTAGCTTTGTTATGTTTTGGCTAGAAGAAGAGTCGTTGAGGAGAAGCTCGCCGGAGCGCGTGATGGTGAGGGCGGCGGAGGGGCTGACCGCGTGGCCTTTATTGGCAGACCAAACTACGGTGGTGTTGGTGGTGGAGATGTTGTTGTACCAAACTGAGAAAGTGAAGTTTGGGGAGTTGGGCAGTCGTTGAAACCCGGCGGCGAAGACTTTGTTGGGAGAGAGGAGGATTTGGTTTTGGTTTGGGCGCCATGGGGAGTTGGAGAAGGAGAAGGATGAGATGATGTTGCTTGGCTGCTGAGAAAATGAGGGTGAAGGGTTTGAGAGGAGGAAGAGGAGAAAGAGAGGGAAGAAGGAGAGAGAAGGGAGAGCCATTATTGGATTGGATTTGGTAGGGGTGATGTGTGTGGACATGGTGATTGGTTTGTTTGGTTTTTGTATTATGAGGGGTAGTGGGCGGCTTTGAATGTTGTTGAGTTTACTTTGACCATTGACCAATGAATGGGGCATTTGGTTGGAAAATTGTTAATTTACTGGAAGTTTTTAAAAATAATTTTAAATAAGTGATAAATTTTAAGAAAATTTATTCATAAATTTTACATAGGAGAATGTTAATCTATTTAATTTTAAAAGTTTTTTTATGAATTAATTAGTATTTTTTTTTTGTTTTAAAAAGTTGTATTTATTTAATTTGGTGCTACTTGAGCTTAAATGAATGTCCTTTTGTAATTCATTTTTCTAATTTTACTTACTTATTTTTTAATATGCGAATGGAAAATGTGAGGTGTGAAATATTTTTTTGGGAGGATTAGTGGCTGAAGTGTTGGTTGTCAAGCATGAAAATCTACATTTGTATTAGTGTGATTTTCTTATATTACATTGGAGTGTTATATTAGAATGTTACGTTTGGAAAAAGTACATTAAAGAATTTTTGTGTGTTACGTTGATTGAATTATTACGTTTGAGAAAAATATATTAAAGAGTTTTTTAGTGAGTTATTATATTAGACTGTTACATTTGTGAAAAGTACATTAAATAACTTTTTAGTATGTTATATTATAGTATTACATTTTTAGAGTGTAATGTTTGGAAAAAAGTACACTAAAGAGTTTTTTTGAAATGTTACGTTTAGTAATTTTAACATTATGAAAAAACTTACATTGTCTTTCAACACATAACACATGCACGTTTATATTTGGCCTTTAATGTAATTCATACTAGAATAAGACATTTGGACCTAAAAAAAAGACTAAACAGTTCATAAAATTACTATTTGAGATTTATTGGTATTCCATTTTAAATTTTATGCATATTAATAATTAAGATTACAATTTTTTTATGAATAATTATTTTTGTTGAAGAATCATTGAATTATGAGTTCTTTTTACTTTAAATATGTCAAACTTGTTTTCATTGAATTAAGCAATGAAATTCACAAAAAAATATATTTTAAAATAAATGGTGTGAGCCAATAGTTTAAGACTATCACAGACTCCTTATTATAGCTAGAGCACTTGCAAATAAAATTTTGATGAAAAACAATAATAGAATATAAATGGCTTCACGTGATAAAGGGGTCGGGAGTTGTTGGGCTTACTAGGTCCACTCTAAGGTTTATTTGTAATTTTAACCGTTGATTTTGTAGAATTTTTTTAAAAAATATTTCAAGTAAAAAATTAAAGAAATAATTATTAAAAAGTGTAAAGTTAAGAAAAGTATAAAGTATTAAGTTTAGTGGATATATATATATATATTTTTTTTTGTTAGTGAGAGTCCACTTTTTGTAAAATAATTTGGTGAAAAATTTATTTGTTTGTTTTGAAGGACATTTGTTTTCAATTTTATCTCTTAATTCAACTGTTGAATATCTGTTAAAATTTTTTCCTATCTGTTAAATTTTTTTCTTTATATGTTTAAAATTTTCCTATCTGTTCAATTTTTTTACCCTGTCTGTTTAATTTTTTTAATTCAAATTTTCCTTATCTGTTTAAATATTTATCAAAATAAAATTCTATCTATCCAAATTTATTATCTATTCAAAATTTTTGATTATCTATTTATTTTTTCCTCTTATCTGTTCAAATACCTGACCAAATTTGATAGCCAAACTAACCCTTTATCTATTCATATAAGACCATCTCCAACGGTTCACCAAACCTGGCATCAAATTTGAAATTGGGTGAAAAAGTCACTTTTTGAAGCTCCAACGGTTTCACCAAATTGGTATCAAATTGAGAATTGAACAAAAAAATCATCAAACTGGGAACATGATACAGATTTCAGCAAATTACTGTTTATGACCGTTGGAGGAGAGGAACCAGTCAACCTGTCAATTGCCCCGCCGGTTGACCAACCGGTCGACCACAAAAAGGTTCAAACAGTTCAAATAGGTAGGTTCAAACAATTCAAAAAAAAATATATTTTTGCCTTACCAGTCGACCAACTGGTCGACCACTAAAAGGTTCAAACAGTTCAAATAGGTAGGTTCAAACAATTCAAATTTTTTTTTTTTTTTGCCTTACCGGTCGACCAGCCGGTTGTCCCTGGAGCAGATTTGATGAAAATCAACCATTGGAGCATTCTCTATCAAATTGAAAAAATGGTCATTTTTTTACTCAAATTTGGTGAAAAATTAAGTAAACTGCTGGAGATGCTCTAACTCACCAAATTTGATAGCCAAACTAACCCTTTATTTATCAAATTTGAGAGAATTTGATAGCCAAACCAAATTTGAGAGAATTTGAAGGGCCTGTGAAACTTTTCACGAGTCTCATTTTAGGGCTTGTTTGGGATGATCTAAATAAATGTATTTTTTATCTTTTTAAGAAAAAATATCCAGAAAAATAGAGAGGTGATGTGATGAAAAAAAGATAAAAAGATAAAAAGATGGATTATTTTCAACTTTCAAAACTTGGCCTTAATAATTCGAACAGTTCATTTTGTAATGAAGTTTGTGTATATCAACCGTGAAAAATTAGATCGATCTGATAATTGTAACATTTTCATTTTAGCGCATTTATCTTTGAAAAAAATGATTTATTTTAAAAAATATACTTATCATTTAATTTTTCCGAAACAAACGTGCTAAAATAAAAAGGTTACGACTCTGAAAATGACTTAATTTTTTTTATAAATAATATATACTAAGCATTCTTTAAAATGAACCATTTAAATTATTAAATGAGGATTCGTAATGGACACCACAAACTTTTGTCAATTTAAAAGTTTGTATTTGCATTCGAGATAAATCCAACCTTTTTGATAAAAAAAATATCTAGAGAAAATTTGAATGCGTCAATGTTGTAGCAGTCCCATAAGTAAAAAATTGGGACCACATTGTCTCATGACTCTCGACTTGTATTTTTCAATATTAAAGCCTCGTTTAAGGATAGGTTAATTTAGTAATTTTTTAATTATTTAATTAAAATATGAGTTAAAAAAAATTAGTATGTTTAGGATAATTTTTTGATTTTTTACGAAAAAATATACAAAAAAATAAAGAGTAATATAACAAATTATAATGACTTTTTAACTAAAATATTTAGTATGATGGACTATTTTGAAAAAATGATTATAATCAACTTTTTGTAAGAGAGGGATGTGAATTATAATCTGAGAAGTGGATTATAACCCACTTCTCAAAAGACCCCTATATAATAAAATTAGATATAAATATAAGTAGTGATGACAACAGTGTATGTACAAATTGGAGTACTTAGGTGCTAGTGACATTCAACCACTTGTTAAATCTAAATATAAACATACACCGACTCAAATACAAAATGATAATTACTATAAATTAGTAAATTTCACATTTTTTTTTTAACTAACTAGTCTATCATATGATAAAGAAAATTTTAAAATTTAAAACATAACTTATTTCACTAATAGAATAAATGTTATATTAGTTAGTAAAGAATTTACAAGATTTGTTTGTTTGTAACTCGTACAAAAAATGCTTTTTGTTTGGAGGCAAAATCTTTCCTATTGCCATACACACCATAAAATACCTAAAAGGAGAAAAAAAAAGAGAGTTTTTTATTGGTCAAAGACTTGAATGCTACACTGTTCCCAAAATAAAAGAAAAAAAAGACTTGAATGCTACATGGTTAGGAAATCATAACGGTGAGGGAGAGAGGGGTGGAAAGCAGAGAGAGGGGAAAAGGGGTCACTGCTGAGCTTAAAGCACAGCAGTGGTTGTGGTGTCCCGTTTGAATTATATTATGATCTTATTTTTATTATTTAAATTGTTTATTTTATAAGATTTGTTGAGTACTTTATATTTATCAAAAATCATCTTAATCGGATATTAATAATTATATGATCAATAATTAAAATTTTTTTTTTATGGTGTAAAATGCTGATCGGGGTTGATCCCCGGCATGAAGAAATGACAAGTTTGTAAAATGTTGTTTTTTTTTTTGTTTTTTTTTTTTTTTTTTTTTTTTTTTTTTTTTTTTTTTTTTTGGGGGGTTTTTTTGGAAAAATAAAAATAAAATGAAAGAAAACAAGGGAGAAAGAAAATAGATAAAAAATATTTATAGATGGATTATATGAAAAACATCAGTGCGATTGTTTCAAAATAAAGTGGGGTATTTAAAAAAGAGGAAAAGTGACTTGGAAAAAATAAATAAAAATAAGTGATTTTTGAAATCAAATGGAGGAGAGAGAGGGACAAACCCATGTGATAAAGTGGAGAGAGAGTCGGTGAGTGGGGTGCAAAAGGTGAAGGAGAAATGATGGATTGAAAATGGTTTGGGTCAAAAGTGGACACTGTTAGTGGGGAACATGAGTGCATTGATTATTTGATATAATAATAATAATAATAAAAATAAAAAGTTAGAACAGTTGGAGAGAATGAGTGGAGTATGGTAAGGGTTTCATCCAAAGCCAAAATTTCTGCAGCGAATCACTTCGCAAATCCTAGCATGAGTTTTTTCTCTTTCCAGGCTTATTCATGAATTTCCTGGTGATTTCAAGAGCCTCTGGTGGCATTGTGGCAGAGAACACCCCGACCTGGATTTTGGGTGGCAGCAACTGAGAACACCCCAACCTGGATTTTGGGTGGCAGCAATTGGAAAATATCATAGATCTGATTTTTAAAAACCTCGTGACAGCATTTCATCAGCTTCATCCAAGACAAACATTTTGATGTAAACAGGGCGAAGTGATTGTCTCCGCAACATGTCAAACACGCGACCAGGAGTACCAACAACAACATGAACCCCACTGGAGAGAATGCGCTGATCTTCGCGCACACTAGTCCCTCCAACACAAGCATGAACCTTCACACTTTGCTGGGTAAGTTCAAGAGTGGGTGGAAGAACCAAAGCTTGGCACTTAACCAAGCTATAATCTAGCTGCTGCAGAATTCCAGAGCAGAATGTTGCAGTGTTTCCAGTTCCAGACTGTCTCGTCATATGAGGTGAAGAATTCTTCTCCATCAGCCTCACACATGACTACAGTTGCACAAATCTTTGTTGATTTTATCAGCGGAATAGGTTGAGGTCCGGCGGGCGGCTAAGGTGAGGTTGCCGCCCGCCGGAGAAGCGAAAATACTAGGTTTTAAACCAGCTCTGATACCCTGTAAGAAATAATGTATAGAGAAAGAGAGAGAATAAATTGTATGTATTATTATTGATTGATATATTGATATATTGTATTACAAATCAGAGTGGCATTATATAGGAGAGGGTTTGGGTAGTAGGTGTAGTGTAGTGGAGGTGGTAGGTGAAGTGGGTGCTAGTGGAGATGGTAGGTGGAGGAGTAAATTGGTAAATTCTAACAGATTTATAGGGTTTTATGGTAGGTTTAATTAAAATTTGATTTGGAATGATTAAATTAGCATTGTTAATGTTAAATTATTTGAGCCTAGATTATTTACATTTTTGCCCTTGAGTGGGCCACCTTTACAAACCCTATTTGGGGTTAATTCATACACTTAGGCATACCACTCTTCTCCATCCACAAGACCAAATCGAGAGAGAGAGAGGGAGAGGTAGGAGAAAAATTGTGTTCATCAAGAATTTTGGTTTGAACTTAGAGGAATTGAAGAGAATTTACAAAGTTGAGCTAGCACACTTGGAATTAGAGAATTCATCTTCTTAATTGTGAATTTGTTTCTTGCATGGTTCATGAGAAATTAATGAGTTGAGTCAAGAATTAGCTTAATGTGCTAAATTAAGAGTCCATTCATGCATGCATGTTCATATCATAGTATTTTGAAGTTGTTTTCCATGAAATCCTTACATGCCTGTCCATGTTTTGGTTGTGGTCCATGAATTCATTATGATTTTGAGTTCAATCTTGCATTTAATCATATTTTAGAGCATTGGAGTTCATAGGAACTCATGCATGTGATGTTCTTGCATTGCCCCTCAAGTTTCATTCAAAATTGTGTTCAATTGCCTCACCTTTGGGCTTGATTTCATAAAATGATCTTTGAAACATGTTATAGTATGGGTTTTTAAGTGTTTTCCAGAAAATTAGCCCAAAAGAATCGAGTTTGAAGCTTTAATGCTTGAGTTTTGTGCTTGGGAATCAATTTGGAAATTCCAGATTTTTGACCCACGCTCGAGCGAAGAACTCCACGCTCGAGCGTACACTCTAAGTACATGCACTTCCGCTTGAGCGTATAAAGTCACGCTCGAGCGTGTAAAGTCATGCTCGAGCGTGAAATGCACATGCCCAGAAGTTCTTGTGTTTTGCAGTCTGCTCGACCGAGAGAATTCACGCTCGAGCGAGGATCTAAGTCTCACGCTTGAGCGGGGGTCGAGCGTCCGTCGAGCGTGAATTTCATGCAACCAGTACTTTTCATGAGTTTGCAGTCCGCTCGAGCGGGGAAAGTCACGCTCGAGTGGAGCTTCATTGTCTGCATGTCCGCTCGAGCGGGAAAGCCATGCTCGAGCGTGGACACCTGTTTCAGCAAATTTTGAAAAGTGTTTTAAAGTATATTTTTGCATCCTCATTTCATCCTAGGCATTCCTAGGCCAAGTTTAAGACATTGTAATGAGGATAATGTTATAGAATCACACCAAGTCAAGTTTAGGGGCAAAGCTATTAATCCCAAGTGTGTAACTTAGTGTGTGTTTGTTCTGCAAAAGTGTAGGGTTGGCACCCGACGACGCTGACTAGCCTGTTTTTAGCCTAGTGCTCTGTGAGTAACAATGTTGTAAATATACGTTCAATTACAATTATTTCTGAACAATTGACTGTACATCTTTCTGAAATGATATTACTTACTGAATGAATGTTTGTCCTATTTGTAAACTGGATTCGTGGCATCCATAGCGACTTACTGTTACTGCTACTGTTATAGAGATCTCTGTCGGTTCCAATGCTTGGAACTACTACTGTCTACTGTTTTGATGGCCATCAACTAACTGTTCAGTCTATTAAGGCCTATTGTTCTATTTTGCTATGGGATGTACCACATATGACTACTATGGTTTCTGAATGACTGTTTTAAATACTGAAAAAGGGCATTCATTCTTAACCCCTTTACGCATATGTTATTCACTGGGCTTCAGCTCACTGTCTATATTTATATGTAGGTGTCCAGGCACTGAACCGATGCTAGGAGCGTCAAGTTAAGCTCCTGTTTTGTCGAGCCAACCATTGTGCCTCACTTCGAGGTTCCGAGTGCGTTCAAGCTAAGGCTGTAATTGGGGTGCCTCAGTTTCACCCTTTTGTCCCTGATCTGTAATGCATGTTAAAGACTTGACTGTACAGTTATGGTGAAGGGATTTGGTCCCTAACTTAGATGTTGTGTATGATGTATATATATATATGTTTTGGTTATGAATGTGGCTTGTTCATAAAAGTCTTTTCGCATTTAGATTGTCACAGCTCATTGGACATCTCTTTTACTACTGTTTGGCTTCCGTCAGCCCCTTACTCTGTATTACTGTCCTTACTGTCAAGCAGGCCTTTGGTAATCACGGATTACTGGCCGGTTGCGATGCTAAACCCATATGGGCGGGTTTGGGTCGTGACATAGTGGTATTAGAGCGATATCATAGCACGAGTTGTACCGCACACATGTGTCCAAATGAGCTATAGGATGTCCTAGAAAATAATTAGGGCATTGGCATGAGCGTGTGAAAGTGTGTGTGGCCATGATATGAATATATGTGCTAATGTGCTAATATGCTTAAGTCAGTAACTTCTTATGTTTATTATTACCATATTGCCTATAGTGAAATGGAGAATGCAAGAAATGCCGATGAATCTGAATCATCCGAGGCAAGAATGACAAGGTTAGAAAGAACAGTTGAACTGTTGACTGAGGCCCTAGGGCAACAACAGAACCAACAGCCCCCACCTCATCCAGTACAATGGGAACCGAATGTTCGTGATGATGTAATTACTTCGACACAGAAGTTCAACAAAATGAAACCACCATCATTCCAAGGAGGCCTTGAACCACTAAAGGTCGAAGCATGGGTTCTGGAAACTAAAAAATTGTTCGAAGTGTTTCCGTGTTCTGAAGCACACAAGGTGTTACTGGCTACCTTTACTTTACAAGAAGAGGCTAGACGGTGGTGGATGTTTGTCCGTGACACCAACAATGCTATGACTTGGGCTCAGTTTAAGGAAGCTTTCTTTGAGAAATACTTTCCTCAGTGTATCCGAGACCGCAAGGTAACCAAATTTGAACAGTTAAAATAGGGCACCATGTCAGTAGCTGAACACGAATCAAAATTCACTGAACTCGCCAGATATGCACCGCACATGGTGGACACTGATTATAAAAAGGCTAGGAAGTTTGAAGGCGAACTCAATGTAGAAATACTTGATCGAATCAATGTCTTGAAACTACTTAAATATGTGGATGTTCTTGACCGAGCGATAATAGCTGAGTCGAATATCAAGGCATTAAAGCAGGCTGAAACACCAGCGACTGAGTGGTGCAGTAAGAGACGGGGCTTTAAGTTTAAGAAAGGTCGGAACAGTTCATTGAACAAGAAGCAAAATCAGGGTCAACGAACAGTTCTAGTCAGGGAAATGGTTCCATACCACTCTGCTCCGAATGCGGCAAAAGGCACAAAGGGGTTTGCTACAAAATTTCTGGTGCATGTTACAGGTGTGGCAAGGTGGGCCACATGGTCAAAGATTTCCCTTCTACGTCCCAAGGCAATAGTAAAGCTGTAGCTAGTGCCGCAGCATCAACTATTACCCCGAAACCCAACCCCAAAGCTACTGGAAATGGGCCTTTAAGGCAAGGCTGGGTGTTTGCACTCGTACCGGGGGATGTGCAGAATACCGAGACAGTTGTGTCAGGTATACTCTCAATTTGTGCCCAAAATGCTTATATTTTGATTGATTCGGGATCTACACATTCATTTGTTTCGCATGCTTTTTCACGAAAATTAAATAGACCACTGGAACCCATGAACTATTTGTTAGTTGTATCTTCACCTGTTGGGGGATCCATGACTTGTGCTTATGTGTATCCTGCATGTGAGATCGTTGTTGGGGATGTACATTTGTATATTGATTTACTGCCTTTGAACATTGATCATTTCGATGTAATTTTGAGAACGGACTGGTTAACAAAATATCATGCTTCTATTGACTGTGTAACGAAAGAAGTTATTTTTCGTCCAACTGGTCTACCTGAATTTGTGTTTAACGGAGTTGGTGTAGTACCTCCCCCATACTTGATTTCGTCCATGAAATCTTTTAGATTGATTAAAAAGGGGTGTAAAGGGTATTTATGTTGCATTTTGACTGTTCTTGCTGATACTAAAGCTAATGTGGATATTATTCCTATAGTCAGGGAATTCCCAGATGTTTTTCCATATGATCTGCCAGGGGATTTGATTAATAGGGAGATAGAATTCAGTGTTGAAGTGTTACCGGGTATGCAGCCAGTTTCTAAAGCTTCGTACAGAATGACACCTACCAAACTGAAAGGACTAAAAATTCAGCTGCAAGAGTTGTTGTATAAGAAGTTCATCAGGCCCAGTACTTCACCGTGGGGCGCACCAATTTTATTTGTGAAAAAGAAAGACAGCTCACTAAGACTCTGCATTGACTATCGTGAACTGAACAAGGTAACAATGAAAAACAAATATCCACTGCCTCGTATTGATGATTTATTTGACCAGTTACAGGGTGCTCAAGTTTTCTCTAGAATTGAACTTAGATCCGGATATCACCAATTGAAAGTTAAACTAGAGGACATTGAAAAGACTGTCTTCCGAACGAGGTACGGACATTATGAATTTCTTGTTATGCCTTTCGGAGTTACTCATACACCTGCTGCATTTATGGACCTTATGAACAGAATTTTCAAACCATTCCTCGATAAATTTGTGTTCGTCTTTATAGATGACATTTTGATTTATTCCAAGAGTAGGGAAGAACATGAACGTCATTTAAGAATTGCTTTACAGACTTTAAGAGAATAGAAACTGTATGCAAAACTAACCAAGTGTGAATTCTGGCTTGATAATGTTATGTTTTTGGGACATGTGATTAGGAAGGATGGCATCTCAGTTGACCCACAGAAGATTGAAGCAGTAGTAAATTGGCCCAGACCGACTAACGTTACTGAAATTTGGAATTTCTTAGGCTTAGCCGGGTATTATAGAAGGTTTGTGAAAGACTTCTCCAAAATTGCTCTACCATTGACCCAATTGACTCAAAAGGGGATATCATTTGACTGGACCGATCAGAGAGAGT